AATGCCAAGTACAGTTAATAAGCTTACAAACCCTTAATGTTACCGCGGATACGTACGGAAATATACTACGCCCTTTGATTTTACAAAAATTGTCGGAAGAATGAACCTAGAATAAACGCGAATCAACTTGAGAGTTTAACATACGTGAACTTTCAGCGTTTTTAAGAAAAGAAATAGAATGCAGAGAAGCACATGGAGCTTGTTAATTCATTCTCATTATAGAAACGTTAACATTGGAATCGGGAGGAAACCCTTCGAACTATATTACGCTTTCTGAAGGGAATACGGGAAGTACCACTGCATTAACCAATTCATTGCAAGAAAGGCTATATTTTTTGCAGGGTTAAAACACATGATGCAGAAACTTGCCAGTTGGCAATTCCAGATACAAGGCGAGAAGCAAAACTGCAAGAATTACTGTTTTCGCTGTCTGAAATGTAGGCATGTCGCCAAAGAGTATTGTCGCAAAGATAAATGCAACATATTCAACCAGCCACATAATTATTTAATTTGCGATCGAGTAGTTAAAATTAGCGAGGCCACTTCTGAATCTAAGATTACGTTAATTTCAGTTTCTAATTTAAATTATTCGTGAGAGGAAAACATCTTACTGCAAACTAATAGTACTATTTCAAGGGCAGGAAGTAAACAAGAATTAAGGATAATTTTATGATTCTGGATCTCAGCGTTGCTTTGTTAAAAGGGAAATTGCGGATGCTTTAGCGCTAAGAAATAGTTAGGAAGGAAACTGTTAAAATATACGGATTTGGGGGGGGGATGAACGTTCATCAGCTTCGATCTACGACGTAGCTCATTTGAAGGATCTGCACAACAGATTTAATCCGGCATTGCATATTACAGTTGAAACTCTTGTTACAATGAAAATCACAAATGGACAAATAGCACAAAATGAGTGGCATTCTCCAAAGGATTTGAATTGTTAGGTATTGGAACACATAAGGATGCTGATGTCTTTACAGGAATGTTTATTTATGCGAGATTTTATATGCTCAGTTAGATAGAGATTAATTGCTGCAGATAGCATTTCGGATTCGTAATTCAAGAAAGAACGTTTCTTGAGTCAAGCGCTTTAACGGTATGAGTAAGAATTGTGATAATTGAACGAAAATGTATTTCTGAGTAATTGAAAGCGTTATGGGAGTTAAAAGTGATAGGAATCAAGTCTGAGATGTAAAATAAACAATGCAAGAAGGATATTATGAATTTGTTCGAAAGTAATACGGTGTAACAAAATTACTGCGGAAAAAGAATCGGAATCTAGGCAATAACAATGACGGCGCTAAGTGTTTTTAAGACTCATTAGACTGGCTAATAAATTAAGAAACAATCTAAACTTATTACAGTACTGTAAAGAAGTGTTACGGGAGCAGTTAAAAGAAAGGGTTATTGCCAGTTTCAAGTACTGGGGAATTCCAGTTATTACTTATCTCATCAAGCAGTTGTTAACGAGGAAAAATCCATAACTAAATTACGTATTGTCTATGATGAATCCTCTAAAGATAAAAACAAAGTATCCTTTAATGACTACCCAGATCTGGGAATTAATCTTCTACCAGATTTGCATTTGTAGCAGATACTAAGAAAGCGTTTTTGCAGGTAGGACTTAGAGAAAAAGACCGAAAGCTCCTCAGTTTCTTGTGGTTTAGGAACAGCCAAATAGGTCGCCAAGAAAATAGCTCAAAATTACTTAGATTTGGAAGAGTTGAGGTTTCATGCAGCCCTTTTCTCCTTTACGAAACTATTAGATTTCATTTAAAGAAATACACAGAAAGTAGAAGCTTCCCAAATGCTGTATAATCCATCTGTTGATGATTTAATTTATGGAACAGACACTGTGCACAAGGCTTCAACCTTGTCTTATGATGTGACAGAAATTTGCTACGAATTCTAAAGAGCTGTAAACCATATGGGCAGAGAAAAATATAGACTGCCAGCCGGCCTGTAACTTCAAAGATATACCAATTGAAGGTTTTGAGAATTGTATGGAATAACCGAGAAGATATACTGAAGATGATTGATCCAGCGTTTTGAGGTAGCTTGCACTTTGGAGAACTGCAGGCTACAAAACGTACCGTATAAAATATCTGTGACAACGTTTTTGACCCCCTCGGCGTGTCTGTAACTTTTACAATTAGAATGAAACTTTCACTGCAAGCACTTTGAAAAAGGGAAGTTGGTTGGGATGAACTTTTACTTAAGGAGTTGCAGTCGCAGTAGAACGAGTGACGAATAGAAATCCACCACTTGCAAGACCTGGCCATCAAAAGATTCTACTGCGAAGATTTTAGATCTAAGAAAGTAAACATGTAGCTGTTTGCTGACGGTCGCCTGTCACTACAAAGTAAAAGAACTAGATCTCTCCGAACGGCCATGGCCAAATTCAGAAGCGGGCAGCTTCAAAGCATGAAATTCAACGGGTGAAATGACCTTTTCCCAAGTGTGCCGGTTCCCTCCCTGTCTCTACTGGATTGTATGGGCGTTTCCCTGAGCCAGCTGCCGGCTGAGCAGGATAATGTTAGCGATTCTCGTGTGCGGCAAAGTCCGGGTTTTAATATCTTCGTACATAGGTTAATGTACTTATGAAACAGCACAAATATTCCAGTAGCAAGACACTGTACCACACATTACTAATCTAGGGTCTAACTATTAATTCACTGTACTAATTACTTATTCTAGCATAACATTGCGCACCAAATATTTCAGTATGTACATGTCTTGTGTATCTAATGATAATGCTTCAAAGGATCATAGTGTACTCAACATATGAGTACACACGTTATGTATATATACTACCGTACCCATGCTTTTGCATACACCTTGTAACATGGCAATGTATTATCTAGTGTCCAACATTAATTAGCTTTAACGCCACTGTATTAAGTACCAAATTTGTATGTATGTTTATGTATTAGTGTATTAGCATAATGACTATGTATGGTTATCTAGATAAAGATGGACGTGACACTATACCGATTAACCGTATTGGTAGAGGGGTGGTGCCCCCGTCCTCCGTCGCATGTGCGGCAAAGTCTCTTGGTGTAGGATTTTCTGCCCCAAGGAGATTAACAACAATATTTAAACCTGGTGATATATGTCTTTGGACTGATTTGGAAATATGCTTGTACTGGATCAGAAGCTGTGATCGACACTAGAATAAAATGTGTCTGTAATCCTGTTGCAGAAATGCAACAAAAGGTGGAATCGCAACATTGGAATTTTTGTCCAGGAAACGAAAATTTAGCCGATAATATTACGCAGGGTATAAAGCGCATTCTATTGTGTCGGATGAGCTCTGGTTGAATAAACCTACCTGGCTTCAAGAATACAGAAATAAAAAAATTCAGACATGAGACATTAAACGTCGGGACTATGCAGGCATTGATAATGAAAGGCGGTTAAATATTATGCAGATGCCATACGAAATTAAATTAGAACGCGAATGACTAATGGATTTGAAAAATTATAGCTCCCGGCACAGAGTTATTTAAGTAACGGCATGGTTGAAGATGTTTATTCACAATAGGAAACCGAACTGAAGAGATTAAAGCCTTCTTGACAGAACAAGAATTAGCCGAAGTCGAAATGTTCTGGGTTAAATATACTCAAGAAACCAAGTTCCAAAAGGAATTAATACAACTTTCTCAAGAAAAGGCGGTAAATAATTCTTCTGGATTGATTGGGATATGACCCGACAGTGAATGAAAGCGGACTTATATGTTTAGGCAGACGGCTTCAGAATTCATGTTTAACTTTTAGTCAAAACATCCCTGGAAAGCATCGCTTTACAGAATTTTTAATTATTCGAAAACACCAAAATGTGTCGCACTCCGGTGTTTCTGACACGCTTGTACAAATTAGAGATCGTTATTGGATAGTAAGAGGTCGCCCAAAGCTTTAAATTATTTTGAACAATCGTTATAAATACAAAAGGTTCAAGGCACGTCAAAGAACCCAAATAATAGTTCTTCTGCCTCTAAAATAACAAAAGATTTATTTTGAACTTTCTTCCGAGTTCATTGTTACCAAGCACCTGTTCTAAGCGTAACGTTGTCCCGCCGACAGAGAATAAAAAATTTCATTGTTACTTCTCTCAAAGACTAAGACCAGTTGATAAGTCGCTTAATCATCTACACTGAGCCCAACAGTTAGAAGTACACACAGGTTTCGTATACACTCGCTGTGGCATACTCTTACCTATGGAAGCGTGTAGTGACAAGTGACACTCTTGTGGGTCTTTAGCCTCAGAAGTCATACGGTGAAGCAAGCACTGCACAGTCTGCCTACTTATTGTCCAACTGGTCTTCTCATTTAGGTGTGATGTCTTCTCATTTGGCAACGTTGGCTACGTACAATACGACTTCAAAGATCATGATCATTCAAGGTTGTTGTCCCTTGCAGCTTGTCTTAATCACTTACGTTTTTCGCTATCTGTGTGTTCTCGCCACGTTCTTGGAACTAGAACGAGAAAATTCCAATTCTTTAACTGAATGTGCCTAAATCTTGAGTTTTACCCATCATGTCAACAACTGCTTAGAGATGGCTGTACTTACAGCTATGTATCCACGACAACATCCTCACATGCGCATAAATGAGGCACTATTGCCAAGTTATTTGCATAACGTTGCCTATCCCTAATTCAGTGGAACTCCAGAGTAGCATTAACAGTCAATTTATATATAATGACGTTATCAAAATGCTGGTTTAAGCCCTGTTTTTATTGTTTTTTGAATTTAATACTAAAATGCAAATATCCATCTCAACATAGAGATGGTATGAAATTTCTAAGTCAGAATGGATTGTTGAGAGAAAAGTGAACTATAAACAGGCTTGCTAGTATTAGGACAACATTTCAATAAAAGGAAATTTTCAGCGAAACATGTTTACATTTTCATGTCATAAATACATTACCTGAATTTTGCACATTCATTGCACTTAAACTGCTTTTATTCTTAAAATCAACGAAAAAGGTGCATATTTACCTCGTTATGAGAATCGCTGTGTCATAGTGAGCAGGATCTCTGTCATCTAATCTATTATGCCGCTCTTGCCACTTGCAAAAATTTCTGAGAGTATGTGGTGCAAAAGGATCGATGATTTTGCGGTCCTAAAAGTAAAGAAAAAGTGTGTTATGATCAGTTTCTAACAATTTAAACTATATTTTCCTTTGATTTAAAAATGGAGATTTTGCTAATGGTTAGCAGTAAAGTTCCATCTTTATTTGAGAAAGTACAAATAATATAGTTCTATAAATTACAGAAATCTTTGTATTAATGTTATATATTTCCTAGAAAATTGAAACAAACAAACTTTGAGAAGAAAAGAACTCCCTAACTTCCGCATGCCGTATTAGTGCAGGTCTGGAGTTAGAATACTGGCGAAGACATTACTCATTTTTCACGTCTCCTGCTCCGAAATAAACCTAATGACTATAACTTAAGCTTCCGCTTCTTGTTTTCTCTCTTATTTATTTTTATTGAATTACCTAACCATTATACGTTAGAACTGACCATAAGATAAATTCACTGTTAACAGACTTAAATACAAAGCAGATATTTTAGACTTAAGAGAATAAAGATTAGAAATGAAGGCTTTCTATGCTTTTTTACACTCAGTAAAGTACATTGCTTGATAACTGCTAGAGGAAAGGGAAATGTTTTTGGCATAACTAATGGTACACATTATTCCATAGAGTGAAATATCACATTTTTGTCAGGAAGGCATAGTATGTTTCTTATACTGAAATGTAATAATTTGAAACCAGGGTAAAACAGGATTAATGAAAACGAAAATTCGCATAGAAATTTCTGGCAAAAAGCTTGTCCGTATCAGCAAGATGTATGCGCTCCTCGAGCTCCAAAACACTTTCTGCATCGGTGTTTAGTATGCTCTCTTCAAGATTTACAAAATTATTAAATCTCAGGGGATATTTTCCTATTTTTCTTGCAAAGTAGTTCAAGAGATTAGACATTCTGCTCTGTTCTTCGGTACGCATCTACTGAGAGCCGTCCAAGCATGTTTGATGGAATTAAGGTCCTGGAAATACGCAATCTATATTGCGCGGGTTGAAACATTACTCTCCAATGCCCTAGTCACGTTATCTATTCTATATGGGGGAAGTTTGTCTTTCACTTATTGAAATTCTGGACTCAGTGCCCCATGAAAAAGAAGAAACTGATCTATAAGAACCTTTACACAACGTTTCTGCTGTGACGGATCTTGATGCAAAGATATGTAGTGGTGGTTTGGCGTCATGCACGATCTATGCTTACACTATTACATGCTGACAATAAATACCAATTTCTTGGGCATATCGCGGATGACCACTTGTTCCACGATCTTGCCACACTTCAATGCCTAGAATCGCTCTGACAATGAATTAGAGTTAGCCTGAGGCATCAGAGATGCAATCCTGTTGGCAATGGTAGTGGAACACATATGATTGGCTGCCGAGCTCAGGATTTGCTCAGTTGACGAAGGGGAGTTAGAATAAATACGTGGTTTCGTAGAATGGCTGTTCTCACTACGAAGAAAAGAAAGGAAAAATTACGTGAGGTGAATGTAGCATTCGAAGGATCTGCAGAAGTATGTGCAGATGTAGCATTTCCGTTTCTTTTCACTAAAATATAGATATACCAATTATCTCTTGCTGCCGTGCTCCTTCTGTGACAACCGTCACGCCTACATGGAGGTGCTTCTCTAAAATTTAGAAATCTTTTTCAATCCCCAGATGGTACTTCAATAGCACTTTGCCGAACCTCGAAGATTCCAACTACTGCCCGCGGTTTTTCTCACTCAAATAATGTCGAGGAAACATTTTGAAACAGATATTCACTGTAAACGGCACTATTTCTAAGTATACGACGTAGTATTTCTAAGTATTCGAAGTATAGGACGTAATCTCCACAAACGCAAGCGAAAGTTTTACTGCACTGGTCTGCTGAAGCTTATTCGAAATTAGTAGCACCTCTATGTTTATTACCTACAATTTAAACTATAATAGTTGCACAGCCAGTTCTTTGTTCACTACTTTCCCTACATTTACGTATTCTATCTGCTGTGTCGCACTGCATGGCAAAAGCTCGGGTGACACTGTTAAGGTTTAGCAGGAGTTTAGAAATGAAGAGTCTTGTTAAATTTCTCGCGCTCTGGTCGGAAATCGAACCCATGAAGTAATATTTGACCGATATGCTTCATTACAAGAGCATATGAAAAAAACATGTACCTGAATTTCAAATCAAGGTACTAATAACATTTCTTAAATGCATCTGAGTTTCAAATCGACATATTAATAACATTTCATATGTACATGTCAGTTTCATAACGTATGCTCCAAGACAAAGAAAAAAATAAGAGATGAACAAGAAGCATGTATCTGATTGTAAAGAAATTTCGTATGCGAAATACTTTCGATCTACCATATAAATGAATAAATTCGGTGGCCAATGAACGAGTAGATTTAGCAACAGAGTATCGAAACTAAATATCTGAACGGCACGTAAAAGAGAAGAAATTCCATTTCTTTGGTACAATTTCCATACGAATTTGATTCCGTCTACCCTCTATGAATGCCTCTGAAATGATTTCACGCGCAGTTGTTATCAGTTGAGACAGGAAGTGCAATCAGCCTAAAAGAAGCAGGCTAGTCAATTCAAAGCATCGCATCACATCCAAGCGATGACACCATTCGACGATGTCGGCAGAAATGAATGAAATGTTGCAGAGAACAGCGTCAAGATGCCGGCGGTTGATATAGGGCAACGATATAATTTGATGACAAAGCGATTATGATAATGGTTCTCGTAGCACCTGATATGTCATCACTGACATTCTGTCGTGTAACTGGACACCAGTGGCCGCAAGGACATATCAAAGGTCCTTGCGGACTCGGAAAAAGAAGTCTGTGCTGAGGATGCTTACTGTGATAACTAGTCCTCAATTGTGCATACCAACAAGTAACATTTGCATTGGTGCCGGGTTCGTTTGACTTGGAATCTAATCAGCGATGATTCCTGCTTCGAAATAAGCCACGATGAAAAACAACGAAGACGGGTCTGGAGATGTCCAGGGCAGGGTAGGATATTAACTTGATTACCATCCGTTACGCAGTCTGACAACATGGAGTTGTGGTCTGGTGTTTCAATTTATTTCATAGGCATATGTCTTTGACTGTTATCCGTGACATTTATCACGGCACAATGGTATGTTGACGATATATGTCCTTTGTGTCACCGTTCTTTTTGAGCCCCCGCCCAGACTCGCATTTCACAGGATTATTCTCGGCATTTCTACTACACTCTTAGACAAAAAAGGGACACATCACGACGCACCGAGAAGATATAAAGCAAATTGGACACAAATTGATATGCATACAGGTTTCGACGGAAAATGCAAAATTTCATTTATTGGTTGCCAATGAATGAACGTTTGTCGCTAGCATATTCACAAAGCCTACAGACCATTTCTCTAAGGTCTACTCTCATTGGATGAAACATCTGCTTGGCGGTCATATTTGGAATGGCGAGTAATCGCCCTGTAGGCGTGGTAATTAACGCCAAACAAAAGGAAACAGCGTTTATTTCATTCGATATTTTTTGAGTTTATGAATGAAAGCTTGGAGGAATTGTTTGGAATATATTTTTATATAACTTACTGATCTTATTAATAGTTTATTTGTATTTGAATTTAAACTTTTAAAAGTACGTAATTGTTTTACAAGAAAAAGGTGTTTACATGGAGATAGCAAATGCACTTTTTCGTCATTTCTGTTAGAAAGAGCCTGTTGTGTAAATTTCCATAGCGCATTAATTTATACAAATAAAGGAATATTCAAAAATAAACCAAATGAAAACATTCAGTAAACATTTAAGGGCGTCGGAAACCTATTCTTTTTTACCTAAATTATGAAAATTAAGTATAACTAAAAGTATATTTTATTCCATTATGCGCTATCGGGATCTTGGATCGTAATCTTGCTACTGGTACCTACTACAAAGAGTACAAACCAGTAAATAAAAATAAGAAAAATTAACAAAAATAGAAAAAACAAAGTCGTTTAATTTTTAACACCGCACCCAAACAAATGATGACGAAGTCATTCAATAAAGGTAACATAAAATTCAATCCGTGTAGAGCACAATTTATGAAAGCTACGAGCGGGGATAGAACCGGCGATTTAGAAGTCTGAGAACTTTTTCCGCGCTCGTTACCGCTGAGCTGCAGGTTCTCCAGTGAGTTATGAACAATTTTTGGTACACCACGCTTAAATACAAATTCTGAAGGCGATGAACCAAAAGTCGCCAAGCACTAGGTTCTGTAACCCTACGTTTCCTGTTTTAACCAAGCGGAGCAAACAACAGTAGAAACGGTCTGTAGGCTTTGTGAATAAGCTTGTCGCTACAGCGCATCTGATCTGCGCAACTGGCAGGATATTTAAAGGAGAAATTACGATTCCAGGTCATAAATTCTTCACGAATTTCATTCCGTGTACTTTGGTAGACAGCAACTAAACCTCGAATAAAGGTGCGCGAACGATATGCGCAGATATCAGAATTTGAGAGAGGTCGTGTAGAAGGTAAAAGAAGCCGGTTGGTCTTATCGGCGAATAGCTAGACATTTGAGCAGGAGCGATGCCACTATTAGACGATGTTGGCAGGAATGGGTGAACCATGGCCTCACACAGCGTCAGAAAGGAAGCGGTAGGCCTAGAGAAACGACGTGAAGACCGACCAATAGTCAGAGCGGCACTCACAGCCCCAGATGCCTCATTATCATCGATTGTACGTGCAACTACTGCTTCAGTGACCGTAAGGACCATTCATAGACGGCTCACAGAAAGGGGGCTGAGGTGATGGCGCCCCTTGCGCCGACTACAATTGACCTCTGTACAACGTCAAGCCCGTTTGCAGTGGTGTCGGACTCATTCTGACTGGAGTGAATAGTCTTCAGTGATGAGTCCCGCTTTGAACTGAGCCCCGATGACCAGCGAAAGAGAGTCTGGAGACGGCCTGGACAGCAGTGTGATACCAAACTGACTGTCTTCCGGCAGACAGGCCGACAAGCAGGAGTGATGGTCTGGGGTGTCATTTCATTTCATAGTAGGGCCCCTTTTGTTGTCATCCGTCGCAGCCTTACAGCACAGCGGTACGTCGACGAAGTTCTAAGGCCTTTGTGTTGCCTTTCATGTCACGCCACCCTGGACTTACATTTCAGCAAGATAATGCCCGCCCCTACACTGCACATGTTTCTACTGCTTGCCTTAGTGCTTGCAAACATTACCTTGGCCAGCAAGGTCGCCGGATCTCTCTCCTATTGAGCACGTTTGGAGCGTTATTGGCAGGGCCCTCCAACCAGCTCGGGATGTTGACTATTTAACGCGCTAGTTGGACAGAATTTGGTACGATATCCCTCAGAAGGACATCCGCAACCTCTATCAATCAATACCAAGCCGAATAACTGCTTGCATAAGGGCCAGAGGTGGACAAACGCGTTACTGACTTTTTCACGCTCTATCACTTCAGTAAATCATCCAATTTTTCTCAAACTGTAATCATTTGTTTTTCTGTACATGTCTTTACATCACTTCTACCGATTTTCGTCCCATTCGGATAACTCCTTCTTGGTGCGTCGATTTTTTTGTCTAAGAGTGTATTTGCCCTCACCCTTATCAAATACTTACCCTGTAGTGCCATTAACTTAGTTTGGCGAAACAGGTTAAATAAAGTGACCTTATTATAACTTTCCTGGCCAGCTAAGTAGCCAGAACTCTCACCGGTGCAGCAAATTTCGAGTCTGACGAGCAGGCGCCTCTCTAGCTTGGCAACTGGAGAGAAAGTTGCGAAGAATTCCAAAAGAAGTTCATCCGCCAAATCTAGAGATTAATGACAAGCCGGATAACTCTATAAGGGCTACAGGTGGTCCAAAGTCTTACTGATTTATTCGCTATGTGCGTATCTTCTGAACGAAATTATTTAAACATTAAATAATTTTTCTTTCCATACATCTGCATCCATATCTACCGAATGTCGTTTCATTAGGATAACGCCGTCTTAGAGTGTATTAACACCACTTCATAACTGCAAGTCTCGATTTGATACTTTTCATGTTATTATCAATGTAAATATACATTTATGACTTTTCTAATACAGTTTTGTGAGTGAAGCATAAATAATTATCACACAGAAGTAGGAAATGCAATGATATTTCAGATATAATCTCTCATTAGACTCTAGAAATTTAAACTTACGTTAATATTCTCAGACAACTTCACTCTGTTCAGAAACAATATAAAATACAGAGCTATAACTACAAATATTAAATTTTTGTAAGGAAACTAATTATTGTAATGAAACTAATTATTTTGATATTTTAAAAAAAGAAATCATACATACTGTTGCTTCATCGAGGACCACAATATCTACTACAGCAATATTAATATTATTTCCAATGCTTGGGTCCTTATATATAAGAGCAACCTGTAATTAAAAGAAAGATTAAGTATATTAGGTGTTGGAGAAGAGTATTTCATTTAATTAAATCCCATGGAGATAACATTGAGGGAGGAGGGGACATGAAAACATAATTTTGACTATATATCTTTATATAAAATATAAAGACTATTTAATATTACTTACTTGAAAGCAAACAAAATGAAAATAATGCAGAAAGCTCTGTTATTTTGTTTCATAAATTCGTGAATTAAAATTTACCGATATTTTTAAAACTGGTTATTTGTTACCATAAAGTTAAATTTTACTGCTTTTTGAGTACGCAATATATAGCGCAAAAAACCTAACGACATAATTTTAAGACTTCTTCACTTCAGCACTAATTAATTTTAACAAAAATGCAAGGCATTTTTAAAATTATAATAAAGCCTTCGGTGTAACATTTGATTAACACATATGTAAATGATAAATAACATGTAAGGGTGATTCCCTTACATGTGGAAGGGGCATGCATACGTAAATTATAAATTATTAATATCAAGTCGTAGACTCAGAAACAGCAGAAGTATTACCACGAAGAGTCCAAAATGAAACAGTTCGATACTGAGAGAATTTTCTATTGAGTGATTCAGATCTCAGGTGGAGATTTTTGTTTAGACAATATGACATTTAACGGAGAAGACATTTGCATAACAATTACTCTCTTTTAATCGAATGTACTTAAAATTTTTTATCAGCTAAATTTCGTAAACTGAAGAGATTAATTTATTTAAAATTTAACAATTAATATAACGAATTGTATAACAGGTTTTCAAGATTCTTCAAGCCATCTGTTTGCGAATTGTAACAGAATTGATATGGCAGTATTTTGTCATAAAGTCACACACGTCTGGATTATAATTTTCTTCACAGGAAGGAATCTAAAAGTTTATAAGATCACTTTAATCACCAACTTTACTTACCGTAGACATTAAAGTGAGGATATAATGGTTGAGATTTCTGCCATGATAACTTGCCATTTTACTGTCAGCAACAACTAACACTTCTAGATGAAGCTCTCGGGATTCTGATCTACGTTTACGACTCAATATGTTATCACCTCCATCATCGGTGGCATTTAATAATTCTTTATGCACTTCAGGATCTGTAAATTCATCTATAAAGATAAATTTGTGAGCAAATTAAGCAAATTCACGAACACACATAAAACCAGCATCACATATAAATCTCAAATAAAATAAATTATACCGTTGTGAAGGACAAAAGGTAAGAAAAATATATATTTATTTTAGAACTACTTGAGAACAAAAGGATAAAATTATTAAGTTTCAATTAGTGTGGATGCCCAGATCATTCAGAGATGAGTAAAACGTGTAGCCACCATGGTTTCAAAAACTCCCGGTATGAAGTTGGCATAGACATGTAAGGATTATGTTAATTTTATTAACAGTTAAATTTTAAGTTCCTTTCCTGTCAAATTCTTAACTTCAACTTACGACTTCCAACCAGAACGTAGTTTTGAAATAATAAAGGGTTAGTTACCCTTACAATCTTGTTGTTTCTTGTCACACGAACTTAAGCGATTATTCGCTAACTAGTTCTTAAGGTTACTCACTTTTGACTGCAAATACACAGTGATAAACCTCACAGACTATATATGACAGGTTGAGATTATAGTCAACGAAGTTTTAATCCTTTGTCAGATTTCGACTGTTGTAGCTTCTGGCGGTCTTTGACACGTGAATATTAGCGCAGTTATGATTCGACGCACTCATTCTCTGGAAGATCTGGTGACCCACGGACAAGACCAAATAATAAGTAAAACATACTGTTTATGTAAGAAATGCTGGATACTATGCACAACGTGCCGTGAACCATCGTCCTGTTGGCTGGCTGCTCACAAAGTTTCTAAAGGTACGGTATAACATAGAGTACGTTTAAAGCACCGAATATGTGTCTCTAACAGTATTCGTATGCAGATGCTGGGCCGATATGACGACGCAAAACGAAAAATTTCTACAAATCTTCATGTTGCCACTATAAACGGAGTCGAACATCATAGTTCTGCAAACAGAAATGGGATCTTCATAAAAAAGCCGATGAAACACCATTCATGACTCCATACGCTTTGATTTAGCACTATTGTGGCCACAGATGCCTATTAAATGTAAGCAGGCAATTGCTACTTTGCAAGTAGCCCACCATTGCAGAGTGTCGCATCGTATATTATTTATTATACTTGTTGCCACAGTATTTATGATGTGGCTTTGTATGGACCATGAGCAGAAGATGTTCGTCATCTCCCGGCATCTGGTGTGTTGAGGTCGTTTTGTGATCCCGTATGTTACTTCGTTTGCACTCTGGGGCTATCAGCCTAAGTGGAAGGATGCCTTTGTGGAGGACTTTCTAAGGGAACTGGTTCGTATACACGTTACACATGGAAAAAACCACGAAACGCCCATGCAGCCAGCCCGTTCGCGGGATTCGAACCTCGGACCGAACTACCAGCGTTCAGTGACTTTAACCGCTCGGCCGCTGGTGGGCTCCACATTTTCATGATAGTAGATATAATCCATAAACATATTTTCACGAGTGTGAGCGTAATTTTGCAATAATCTAAAATCATGTTACTGTAAAATTCTATCACGATCAGATTATAGTACGTGCTAATTTGATATCCATTATCTTACGGAAAAAGTTTCTAAGCGAACAAACAAAGAACAAAAACATGACTCCCGTATAAAAAAACCCCTCGTTACACGTTTTCTATCTGCCGTCATGGGTGCTTATAACGTGCATATGTGCTGCATTGTTAATCATTGATAAGCCCTACCGTACTATCATGCAAATTTCGGAGCACTGCTCCAAAATTTGCATGTTAGTGCGGTAGCATTTCCTTCTCGTTGTAATATTAACACATTCGCACTTCCTTGTTGGGTTGTAATATTAATGGTCAGAAGTTTACCAAGTCTTAAATATTTATATTTTTTGGTAGAAAAAATATATATGACTCAGAAATGAGGCGTACATAAGAAAACCTGCATATGTTTTATGCTGCTAGACTGCTGTCAAAATATTAAAAAATAACTACTACGATATAATAGATAAAAACTATTACTTTACAACTGCAGTAGATGCGTTGTTCACGCCTTATTTAGTTAGGATTTTTCATTTCCATATGGAATCATCGTTATATTTAGTTTCACATAATACCAAAGACCTTCCACAAAAACCATGCTATTAATCTCTATATTATGATTCTTTATATTTGAGAATGTTCATTTTCTTTAGAAAGTTTGGTTCTGGATTTTTAATGAAAAATGAGAATATTATCTTTCCAACGTCAACAGCAACTTGTTTAGGCCTCATTCTCATAAAAATGCGTCTAATATTTCTACAGCGAATGAAACGTTAACCTTATTCTTGGAAAACAGCATTGTAGTTAGAATATCACTGGCACCAGCACTGCTAACTTACAATCTTATTATTGACACGAAGACATTATGAAATTTATAAATGAACGTGAGGAGTTGAAACATTTTACTTAAACCATATATTAACAGTACAATTTAAAACTGAAAGAGAAACACGCCTCTATAAAATTTTAAATTTCAATAAATCTCTGAAGATTTTAAAGGCCAGCAGACAATTTATGTACGGAATTTTATTTTATACGTATAATAACCCAACATGGTTATACTCATGTTTTATCTATTGTGAATTAATGGCACAACCTATTTCTGTTCAATATGCTGAAACATTTCAATAAATAATTCAGATACTATTTTCATATGTATTTCTTAGCTTCTAGCTAGCAGTAATAAATATCAGGCACAAGGATTTCTTTTGTAAATTTTATTTCACTAACTAAATTTCATTATCATGTGCAGCAGCACAGCTGTGTAAATTAAAAAGTAGGGTAACGTTTCCAAGTTACAGTATGACACAAGCAGATCGATAAAAGAATAAATCGCTGAATGAATGAAGTGTATAAAATAGTGTGTGCAGATAACTTGAAGCATCTAACATTTTTAGACGCTTCAATGTACAACTAATAATGAATTTAGATTACTCTCTGGATTTTAGAACTTTCGAATATAAATTCAAAACATATAATATACATTGTTTTGCCCATTAAAATAATTTATTTTCAATACTTGATTCAGTTTAAAAAATACCCGTCTACCCTCATACTATACAATTATTTCCTAGAAGTCGGCTCAAATTGTTGTTGACACTAATATGAAAAAATATTATTTTCTCACAAAATATCTTAAAATATCTTATTAAGAATACATAATATTATGAATGGGATTTTGTAGGATGTTCCATGATGAATATTTTAAATGGAAGCAAATTTCTCAACATTATTAAAAAACTTATTTTGAGCCCAAAAAATAAAAAGCTAATAGACCCTTAAAAGCTTTCAGTGGATATTTAAGAAACCTAACATAATTGCTTCTTGACAGGATTTTTTTAATTCTTACCTCATATTCAGGGTTCGTCAGAAAAAAAAAATGTAGAATCAATTTAACAAATAGTGTTTGCGTATTGGTTCTGAAGTTGAGTTGAATTATCTGTACAATATGTAGTATAGTGTTTGCGCAACATCATGTCGATACTCTTATGAATGTAATATGTGACGTATGAAGTATGGCAGTGAATTGAAATGGCCTTGGAGGAACTTGAAGAACGTCATGTAACGCTGGAAATTAGTCATGCTGGAGGTCCTTTGTCAAAATATTACATCAGCATGTGCTGCAGTCCATGCGGACACAATGACCAACGTTGTTTAAGCAATCGCTAGCCTTTGTGCTATGTACCTAATCTGCTAATGTCTCCAACTTTGAGACTCTGAGCGCTCTAAGTATAGGCATACAGGTGCAGAAAGATTATACTAAAGCTAAATTATGACATGTAAGATAATATTAATTTATTATACAGTTCAGTATTAGCGCATAATAAAGAATTTTCTTTCCTTAAAAACATGCATACATTTATCTGGCAAACCTTTTATTTGAGATGTTAGGCTCATAGTAATGGAAAATAAATTAAAGATGGTACTTAACGAGTTAATTACTTAGTTTAGTAGGCAATAAGAATTATTTTACTGGAACATTGCAATTGAATTGATTGAATGAATTGAGGTTTTCAACATTAGGTGTGTCTAAGAAAGAAGAACTTCAGAGACTATTTCATTTTTCTAAGCGGAAAACCTAAAAGTCAGCTGCCGTTTCGACCGGTAATTTAGCTTAACCTTCAGCTGTTAAATGTACCAGTACACCACAAAGGCTTATCCAGAAAGAATGCCTTTATTTCTTAAAAAATGAAAAATTAATTCTATCTCATGTAATGCGTCTAGAGGAGAATTACATCAGGAATAAGCTTCGATTTAAATTTCAAAAGAATTTCAGTTAGTAATTTACCTTTTACATAAATCCATTGTTTAAGCGCCCATATTCAATGCTGAAAATTTTCAGTTTTTATTTTCGGTATCATAGCATTGTCAGAGAACCCTCTTTCAGCCCATTAAAAACTAATTTGAAACTGTTCTAAAGAGCCCGTAAGTATATAGATAACGCTTTTGCTAAGTTGTTTAAAGAATCATTTCGAGTCAGTTGAGTGGAAAAAAATCGAGATAAAAGGAAGATCTGGAATCAAGGAAAGAAATTCAGGATGAAATGAAAACTGGAATAACATGGAATATCAAAAGAAAAAGTATGCTTTTACAAAAATCAAAGCCATGCTTTAATTTTTTTTCTTTTTCCTCCAGTCTAATATTTATTTACTTACCGTTCAACACTTTCTACAATAATAAAATTAACATTTAAAACAGAAAAAATGAGTCTAAACAGCTGCAAATTAGTCTTAGAAATGATCTTTTCCTAGAAAGTTACCATTTGTATATCATGGTGATAACACTTTTATCCTGGAGCTTAAGACTATGTTACAGTCTGTCTAAGATCCTACGTCTGCTGAAAGAGAATTTTTTTAATCGAAAATAGTGGGAGTGAAAACAAAAAGACTGTAATTGCGGTCGTGCACTAAGCAAGTTTGAAAAAGAGTAAAGTAAGATGAAATTTCCACACAGACGCAAGGATGATAATTGATACCAGATCCACATCTGAAGCGGAAGACTCAGCCTGTTGAGAGCAA